TTTACGGTTTATTTACTTTGCCCCCTGTTGCGTGTCTGTGCCTTCTAGTCTCCTGCACTGTTTACATTTCTCTCACTATTTATAATTACAGCTCTGGCTGTGCATTTTCCTCATCTTTGTCTGTGGGCTTTGCCAGCCCCAGTCCTTACAGTGCACCTTCTGTTTGCTGCTGCTCTTGAGGAAACCTTCAGCCATCCTAAGCCCTAGATGGACATACACACACTCCTCCAGCTATAACTTTTGTTAAATACTTTATTTCATGCAAGCCTCCTTTTTGATAATTAAGGTAAGAGTAACAAAATGAGCTTACAGTATTTGCTTTCCGAATCATCAGAACTGAGTCCATGCTTTAACACCTAAAGAGAAGTGCCTTACTCGCTGAAACCAAAGGTTAATAACCAGTATTTCTAAAGTATAAAGATGTGCTTGGAGCAAGGAGAAGAATATTTTAGTGCCGATTTTATTGGTATGCTTTTGTTTGCTGATTGCATATGGTACCCATGAGAAGGCAAGTGTTGTCCTACTTGGGACAGCAACTCTGTCTTTTTATAGAAACTGTTCTTATCAAGTCACCAATTTGCCAAAACCAATGTTAATTTATTGGTCATCTTATCTGACCTATTAGAGCCTCTGACTGAGTTGATCACCCTCTCTGTTGAGAAACTTTTCCTCCCATATTTCCTGAGCACCACAATCTTATTTTTCTTCTACCTTTTTGATGCATTTTATACTTAAATTTTTTTTTTTTTGAGTTTACTTATTTATTTTGAGAGAGATAGAGACAGCGTGAGTGGGGAGGGGCAGAGAGGGAGATAGAAAATCCCAACCAGGCTCCATTCTGCTAGTGCAGAGCCAGATGCAGGACTTGAACTCATGAAACTCGGAGCTCATGACCTGAGCCAAAAAACTAAGAGTCACACGTTCATCCACCTGAGCCATCCAGGTGCCCGGATGCCTTTTTACTTTATTTGCCCAGCCTTGAAAGCAAAACCTGCCATTGAAATGCCCCATCAGTTCCTGTATGTCACCTTTCCTTTCTGCTACTCCTATATGGTTCTATGCAAGACCTTGATTTTTATGTACAGTTGCTGTGGTCATCTTTTTCTTGAACCTGGCTGTCCTATATCCAGTTTTCTTCTCCACTTTATTTCGATGCTCATCACTAAAATGTATTTCTAACCCAACTCCCCTGATGTGTCGTTCCAAGCCTCTTTCTCCCATCTTAATGAATGATTTATTTTCTACCTTAATAAATGATAATTCCATCCTTTGAATTGCCCAAGCTAAAAACCTTGGAGTTAATCTTGACTCTCATTTCAGATAGTGATTTTTGTCTTTTCTCATAGCTATATCCCTACTACTGAGAAGTACTGAGGGGGCACCAATAAATAGGCTTTGAGGGAATGAAATGGTTGAGCTAGTAAACAGAAAGTGAATTCTGCATTCTGATGCCCAAAGATAGAGGCTTTAGTTAAATTAGGATGTTTCCAGGAAGGCAGAAGCTCTGTTTTCTTACCCTCATCTACTTCATAGGGAGGTAGATTTTGTCACGCTATTAAACAGTTAGAATGCTAAATACAAATTAATGAAAATCGTATATGCTACACTTTGGGAACATGAAACAGGATGGTGATTCTTTTATGATGAATATCACAATGCCATTATTTCCTTGAGCTTCTGTTAATATCCTCTCCTGACACAGGCTAGGTACCCAATAACTAAACATTTTTTTTTAATGTATTAATGATTCCTAATGTACATTTTAATCTCAGAATTTTAAAAGCAGGGTTTATTCTATTCTCCTCTGAAACCCATTTCTCATAGTGTAATACACTCTGGCTCCATCCACACTGTTGCAAATAGCAAGATTTCATTCTTTTTGTTGGCTGAGTAATATTCCATTGTATATGTATATACACACACCATATCTTCTTTATCCATTCATCAGTTGATGGACATTTGGACGCCATAGTTTTGCTGTTGTTGATGATGCTTCTATAAATGTCAGATTGTGTGTGCCCCTTGAAATCTGTATTTTTGTGTCCTATTATGCTAAGTGAAATAAGAGAAAGACAAATACCATAGAATTTCATTCATTTGTGAACTTTAAGAAACAAAAGAGAAACATAGGGGAAGGGGAAAAAAATCGTAAGAGACTCTTAACTATTGAGAACAAACAGGGTTGATGGAGGTGGGTGGGGAATGGACAGCATGGGTGATGGGTACTAAGGAGGGCACTTGTTCAAATGAGCACTGGGTGTTAAATGTAAGTGATGAAACATTAAATTTTATGCCTGAAATCTTAATTTTACCATATATGATAACTAAATAGAATTTAACTAACACTTGAAATAGCACGCCCCCCACCTCTTTCTTTCCTTGTACTTTATAGCTTTGTTAATGGTACCTCCTCTTGTCTAGTTGAAGAACAAAGGAGAGGGGCTCTCACGAATTCTTTTCTTCTACCCCATGTCCACCCAGCCATCAAATTCTGTCAGTTTTCATAGATTTCAAATGTTCAAGCTCTCATCATTGCTCACTAAAGTTGCTTCTACAATAGTTTCTTAACTAATATTATTACCTCTACTGTTGCCTCTCCTTTACATTCCTTGTAGTTTCTCCTATTTCCAGTTGAACCTGAACTTTCTGACCTGGCATACAAAGCTGTGCCTCATCTGGCCTGTGTCCTTGTCCAACCTCATCTCTAGTGACTCCTGGAGCCGCTCTCTCCTGAACCCTTTGTAATGCAATGGAAGGGCCCAGGGCCCAGGTTTTCTAACCGGTTAATTCCTTAGATGCTGAGAACATCTCATCTCAGTCCTTCACTTCATCAGGCTGCCTTCCTATTTATCTTTAAGAGTCAATGCCGTTACCCAGCTGTCCTTGTTTTTATTTGGTTTCTACACATTCCCAGTATATATATGGAACATATCTCTTCTACATAGTATATTTTTATCATTGATCTATTGTCTTCATGAGGACAGGCAGCATGATCCTGTTCACCTTCATAGTTCGTGAGCCTTTTCCACTGTCTGTAGGAATTGATTTCTATGACATAGATGCTATATTGGCCCCTGCTTCTGCCGGTATGCTATATTAGTTTGAAATTGTGTGATAAAACAAGTCTTTATGTCTGAGTATACATTTTTAAAAACCTAGAAGGAACTCTTTGGTCCTTACCTTGATTACAGAATTTTTTTTGTCTATAAGGAAACATTACATTTTGCTGTGTATTTGCATATTTTCCTAGGCCTGTGTTTACATGACACCAATTTAAGAGTGGTTATAGTTCATGATAATGGCAAATTACCATTAGAATTGGGAAGGGATTTTAGATAATGAACTTAAATTCATTATTTCAGCTTAAGTCAATTTTCTGTTTTTCCTTTTATAGAAAATTGCCCTTTAGGATACTTCCTGGAAAGAATGTGGATTATCCTTTTCCCTTCTTTCTCTTCAATTTCATGCTGCTATTGTTCTACACATATTTACTTTACATTTAGATCCTATTTCCTGCTAATTTTTATGATGCTATTTTTGCTGCATTGAGCCCTTTATAATTTACATCTTTTCAGAAAGCTCGTGATTAATACTAATTTATTTGCTCAAATATAGAGAAATATTATTTAAATGTTCTTTGAGATCTTTTAAAAGTCTATACTATTGCTGAAAAGGTATTTTTGTCGGTACTGGGTAATGACTGACCAGGAGGTGGAAAGAAAGTATTTTAAACCTTGTGACATGAACCAGTTACAGCTGAGTGAATGTGTACTGGAAAGGTAGCCTCTGTTTTTAAGTTTATTCTTTTTTTTATTCTAAGTATTTCCCTTTTCTCTATTTATCTTCTGGCACATTTCCTTCCTCCAGTTTAAATAGTCTTAAGTTTTGACAGTAGAGGCATGCTGGTCAGATTTTAGTATTTAGACATCAAATACAATAATTACGATATATTTCAACCAGCAGGACCTGAGACCCCTGGAGGTGTCTTAATCCAAAAGAGACATTTTAAATTCATATAAACCTTGCCTTAAGGGATGGAGAAAGGACAATTTAGGGAACAGCATGAGGTTAAACATATTGATCAGTAGGCCAGTCATTCTTGTTAAGACTCTGGTAGAGTGTAGACAGAAAAATAGCATCATCATCAACAACAAAGAGTTCTTCACTTCTCTGGAGACCGTCTCTTTTGCTTCCAGTCTCTCTTGCTTCCATTATATGGATTTCAGATAATGAAAGATAGGTTTTAGCCAGGGATACAAAAAAAAAAAAATTCATATCCAGTTTGAAATTTGGGGTGTTAAATAACTGGAAAGTATAGTGATTTTTACATTTTTAGCACTTAAGGTATATACTAAAGGATTTAATTAGCTATGTTATTTCTTTATGCCTTTGGAATAAACATGACCTATATAATTTTTTAATTCTTGCGAAAGTGTAAGAACCATTGCCTGGTTAATTCTAGTAATTAATTGTGCAGTGATAATAAGATAGTTTTTAGTTATAACAACCCCATTGACCAGATTCACGACACTTGCTGACCTTGAAGTGTTTGAAACTTTGGGTTTCTCTCCATGAATGGCAAGTTACTTTACTATGTCAGGTAAGTATTACCTATCCAACAGAGATCTATAATTTTTCTACTAGGACATTCAGTTTATGTTGTATGCACATAGAGCATGGAGTGATTTTCTTGGATAAGAGCTGAACTTTTGGCTAGAGTGAAATTTTTATGGAACAGCTCCAATGCCTAATGTTTCTCTCTCCTCTCCCACAAAAAACCCCCCAAACAAATAAAAAAGAAGAAAACTCCACCGAAACTATATTTCTTATTGAATTTTAATTGACTAAAATAATTTACATACAAATTATTATTCTAATAGATTCTCCTGGGAAGAAAGGTATTTAATGATTCTTGGAACAAAACCTTCATGTTTCAGTTGTATTCCTCTTTCTTTAATGTTGGAATCCAAGCTTAAGTCTCACCGTGCAATCTATTGTAGGTAGCATGTATGCAACTCATCAATGCCCTTGTTACATCTCCTGATGATTTGGACTTCAGGCTTCACATCAGAAATGAATTTATGCGTTGTGGATTGAAAGAGATATTGCCAGTAAGTGCCCTGCAGTCTCCTTATTAATATTTAAATTAGAGGAGTACTTGAATAGGGGGAAATTTAGATAAATTACCTTCAAGAATAATTTATCTGCGGGGGAAAAAGGCTTGAGTATAAAAATCTATTTTTGAAATATAGATAAGATTGGAGTATTAACACTTTAAGTGTTTGAATGCTGTAAATCAAGTAAAATGGTTGGTTTATTGTTTATATGTTTTTCATTAACCTTTTTGCATTATTAAAAATAAAACCGTTAATTGTCATTTCTCTTTCATATCTCTAGAATTTAAAATGTCTGAAGAATGATGGCTTGGATATCCAACTTAAAGTCTTTGATGAGCATAAAGAAGAAGATTTGCTTGAGCTCTCCCATCGCCTTGAAGAGATTAGAGCTGAGCTTGAATATCCTTTTGTTCTGAAGTTACTGACCTATGTAAAATTGTTGCTAAACCCCAAACTAACAAACTTCACACCCCAAGATACTAAACTTCTGAAGCCATTTCTGTATAAACAGTATAAAGCCAAACCTTTATGAATCAGATTGATTTTCATATAAACTTTTCTTAATAGTTTCATGTGTGTTTTTCTGAGTCCATGCATATGGAAATGGACGTTCCAACCCACAAATTCCATGAGGCCTCTTGTGTATGTGTACAGTGTGTTGTTTATTCTTCTCATGTGTGGCACCTCCCCCTCCTCTAGTGCTCTCTAGCATTAGCCTATTGGCCCCTGTCCTACACCTTGGGTGCACACCCCCATGGGCCTTTGTTAACTCTGTGGGTCTGCAGATCTCTGTGCTTTTCCAGAAATCCACCAGGTTCCTGTCCTCCACTGGGGCTTCCCCATGGTGGATAATGCCTGGCACCATCTCTCTTGGTTAGGGCACTCTGTACACCTAATATGGTATTTCCAACCAGCTGCCTGTTACCCTTGCCACCCGAAACATCTTGGCTTGAGAGAGGCAAATGGTTGGAGTTGATTTTGGAGGAGAAGACAGTGCCAGGTGAAGTTACCATTTGCACACAGTTTTCCTCTACTTCAATCCTAACTACCTGTGTGGTACCATATGTTGAGTATACATGATGGTATGGTGTAAGACACACAATAATCTTTTGAAGCCTTACAGAACAGATTCTGTGCTGTGTTATTGGCTGTTTGGTGTAGAGAATAAATAAATTCACATATTCCTTAATCAATGTACTGAAGCATATGATATTTACAACATGGTGTGGAACACAGTTAAGGAAACTAGAGCGGAAGGATATTTTATTTCCATTCTTCAGCATCTTTTGCTGATTCGAAATGATTATTTTATAAGGTAAGAGGAAGCTATGTTCTAATGTTAAATTTCACTAATAAAATTCTATTAATTGTGAAATTCACTTGATGTTTGATTTGGGCAAGCTCATAATTTTTAGATTTTTATTTCTGTCTTAATACTGACTCATGGAATGTGGCATTTCTTCTGGGCATATATTTAGACAGGTGACAGTAAAATGATATTACTGTTATTTTGTAAGCTGCACAGATTCTTGTTACCAAGTTTTCATCTGAATAACAAATGCGAACTAGCAACAAATTACTAATTTATCTTGTGATGGATAATGTTTTCTCATTAGTCTTTAGGTAGTAGGAATGGGGTTGATAAGTTTCTTTTTATAAGTTACATGAAAGGCAGTAAACATTGTTTTTATTAGTATTTAAGTAGCTAGAAAGTGCCTGGGTAATACAGTTGCACTTAATGTTGCTAATGTATCAGAAAAGCTAGACAAATAACATTCAAGTTCGATTATATCTCAGCCATCTTGAGTTTAACAAATTGTTTATTCCATCTGTACCTTATCTATCTGTAGCTGGGCAAGCATATTAACACCTACGTTCCTAGGTGGTTCTGAAGGTGACACATAGTAGCATGGATAAATCTCCTAGCCAAATATCTGGGCACCTGGTGTATGCTCAGTAAATGCTCTCTATATCTGCTTTCTACTTTGTTACTGTTTTATGAGGAAAGTGGAGATCCTTGAATATAAAACCATTTTTGGTGCCTTTAATTTAGCTTTGCTGAGATTCCATTCTCAAATACTTTGGGTAACGTGTCGTTTCTTACTCTGCTTTCATGTGGAAGAATTTGCTAGAGATGTCTCATTTGGGCTGTGTCCCCTGGTTGATGTCAGAGGGTGTAATTCAGGCTTTTGATATATCTGACACGTGAATAGAATAAGAGTCAAAGTCGGGGCGCCTGGGTGGCACAGTCGGTTAAGCGTCCGACTTCAGCCAGGTCACGATCTCGCAGTCCGTGAGTTCGAGCCCCGCGTCAGGCTCTGGGCTGATGGCTCAGAGCCTGGAGCCTGTTTCCGATTCTGTGTCTCCCTCTCTCTCTGCCCCTCCCCCGTTCATGCTCTGTCTCTCTCTGTCCCAAAAATAAATAAACGTTGAAAAAAAAAATTAAAAAAATAAAAAATAAAAAAAAAAAAGAATAAGAGTCAAAGAAAAAAAAAGTTTACGTTCTTTGGGATGAGCACAGATTGCCCATCTTATCTCCTCCTTTTGCAGCACAAACATACTAATATAAAATAAACACTAATACATTGACAAAAATATTAATACAAATATGAATACATTAGTTAAAATCAAAATAGTACATTGATTAATATTTTTAAATATCAGAGGTACTTGCCAGTTATAAAACTGTATTTTTCCCCACATGTATTTAAATTTGAAGCTTCCATTTACTCTAAAGTAAACCTGTCCTTTTTTTTTTTTTTTTTTTTTTTTTTTTTAAGAGAGACAGAGTGAGAGTGGGGGAAAGTCAGAGAGAGGGGGAGACAGAATCTGAAGCAAGCTTCAGGCTCTGAGCTGTCAGCACAGAGCCCAGTGTGGGGCTCAAACTCATGGACAGCAATACTGTGACCTGAGCCGAAGTCAGATGCTTAGCCACCCAGGCGCTCCAGCCCTGTCCTTTTCTTGATCCCTATATGGTTGGTCCTGTCAACCTCTGATTGCTTGATGCTGCTGGATTTTTCAAGAATTCAAGAATATTGTTTGCTTTCAAAGTTTTGAATGTGTCTTAATGTTGCCAGAGGGGGTTCTATATTACTTATGATCCCTTCATTTTTACCCTAATCCCTTAATCTGTGCTGCAGAAGTCCATGCGGTTGTGTCTACCTTTAAAATAGATTGAAAAGCACAACTCTCCTGGGGCATGCTCAGGCAATCCTGTCACTTCAGTGGAATTAAGAGTCTCAGAGAAATATTAAACTGTAGCCGCACCAAAGTGACGTTAGTTATTTTGGTCATTTTTCAAGTAGCACGTTTTTAACTTGATACTTATGTATGTTGCATTCTTCGTGGACTCTTTAAGCCCCAGGACCTTGGTCTTTGTTTCATGTATGGTTGCTGTGAAGGTGTCATTCTTCCTATGATTTCTGTAATCAAGACCATTCCATCTGTTTTTTTTTTTTTTCCCATGTTCCCAAATTCTCATAGGTGGTTATTGTTGTTATTTATTCTTACAGAGAATATATTTTTATTATAAGATTGTGGCAGATTATGATCATTTAGATAGTTTTTCATTCATTTAAAAATTATTTAGCTTTTTATTTAAATACAGTAAAACTGTTTTTGGTGTGCAGTTCTGTGAGTCTTGCTCTTTTGGTTTTAGCTTCATGGTTTTTTGTTGGTTGATTTTCACTGTCTCCGATGGACGTGGACTTTACCTTTTAAAAATCTTTGATTATCTGAACACCTTTTGTTGAATGAACATTCTTAATTCCTATTGATATAAATAAATGTTTTCAGATTTTTAGAAATTGCTTTGCTTTAGAATGCAAGATAGTCCCATTTAAAAGAATTAGCCGATAGGAAAATAAGAAAATTTTCTCACGTTCACATTTGGGACGAAAGGAAATTTTACTGAAATGGAACTCAGTTGGAGAATGTACGTGCAAGGTAACCCCTGCCCCCAAGAAAAATGAAATGTGGAAAGAATATTGGAGTGTGGAGTGGGAGATCAAATTCATTTCTCTAACAAATACTTAATGGCTTACCATGTGCAAAATATTTGCCTAGTTGAATGTGCATGGGAGATAATTTCTGATATTTGATAAAAATACTAAAGAGAAAGTGAAGATGATTTTAAAATTCCTCCAACAAAAATGATATATCAGTGAAGTAATGACAACTTATGTTCATCCCTTAATTAGGTTATTTACATATTCCTCTGACATATTCACTAACTCACCAATATTGCTCATGGTGATTATTTTCTGGATGAACATTTCTAGAATCCAGAAGTACATTATTATTTTGCTAGTGTTGCCTTGAAAGAGATTTTGCAAGAAATTTCAGCTACTTTGTAAGTGAGCTTATCATTGGGAGCTGTGGAGGTGAGAAAACATTTACTGAAATAATGATTTATTTAAAAAGTCCACAAAGTAACCTATGTTATTAATTAATAACTTATGTTATCAAGTCCACAAATTAACCTATGTTGTTAATTTAAAACATGTTTATATTAAAACAACACTAGGATAACATTGAGTAAGAGTAAAAAAGAAATAGAATGCTCCATCTTGATTTTCAAACGTGATTGATATTTTGTACCTGTGTGCAATTTATGTACCTTAATTGTACATGTGGTTGTTATGGCAAGATAGTAGGGAATGGGAGACTATATTTTTGGAAGCAGTGTAGAACATTGAGGAAAGCGTGGTAGTACCTTCTTGCTTTGACATATACCCAAGAACACTGTCTTAAACATTTTTAGTTGATGACAGTCAATGACCATCTTTTGTCTTTGCTAATGTTCAGTTATTTTGGATTTTATTCTGCATAATGGGTCATTTATGAGGTGTGAGGTAAGTAGATTCAGGGCAGTAGAGAAGAAGCTCTAGTGAATAGAAGCGCCGTCACTTACATGGTGAGAAAGATTTGGAGAGGAAATGTGTGCAAAAAGTCACTGAGGGAACAAAGAAGTTGTAGGGGTGGCTGGGGATGAAGGACTGACCTCATTGAGATAGCACCCACCCTTTCTGTCATTTTAGTTTGGTTTTGTTAATAAAATCTAGATATTTTAAATTGATTGGCTTCAGTTTTGTTTTTTAAATTTTTTTTTTTATGTTTCATTTATTTTTGAGAGAGAGAGAGAGGCAGTGTGATCAGGGGAGGAGCCGAGAGAGAGAGGGAGAAGCAGGCTCCAGGCCCTGAGCTGTCAGCACAGAGCCCGAACTGGGGCTCGAACTCACAAACCGTGGGATCATGATCTGAGCCCAAGTCAGATGCTTAACTGACTGAGCCACCCAGGCTCCCCTTGTTGGCTTAAGTTTTAAGGGAGGTTCTTTTGCTTATGGCGAACATAGGTGGACTAAAACCTGTAGTGACAACGTGATCCCTATTTGGGCATTTATTTAAACTCTAATTTTTGAAAAAAATTGTGTTTGGAGTTGTGTTTTGAGCACAAAATACTCATTTGGTACTCTATATATTTTACAGTATCTGTTTTTAATTGGACTCCGCAAACATTCTTAAAGTAGTAAACTGTATAGTTTTAAGACCCAGATAATTTTTTTGAAAAAAATGGATATATTTTGGCTTGTATTAATACAATGAATTAATGGTAGATATTTCAGTATGGTAGAGTGGTAAGTTGATCTCTGTTGAGGTTTGCTTTTAAGCACCTATCACTTCATCTCAGTGCTTTTTTTTTTTTTTATTGCTTACGAATTAAGTCAAGGTTCTGACTTTTGTAAGCAAATCCTCATTAAAACACTGTATGTGCTAAAAGAGTGTAAAAACGTAATGTCTTAATGTCACTAGAAGAAGGAAAGCGAGCACTATTGTATTTACCCTCACTCCCATGTTAAATCTGTCATGCCAGTCGTTGACACTATACAAAGATAAATTATTGAACTCGAAATCAAGCTTACCAAAATACTTGGTTTTGATGTAAAGTTATTCTTATAAATGGAGTGTGCATTTATTCTTTTTCTTGGTTTTAGGCAACAATACTTCAAATTAATTGATGAATGTGTATCTCAGATTGTATTGCATAGAGATGGGATGGATCCAGACTTCTCATATCGAAAGAGACTAGATTTAGATTTAAGTCAGTTTGTCGGTGAGTATTTCTCTAATATTTAAATGGAAACCTTTTATCGTCCCTTGCCCCACAGGTTAACTGCAGTGTCAGTTCTCCTAGTGTGACCTGTAGAGTCCTTAGGGCCCTTGATACCCTTTCAGGGGATCCTAAGAGTCAAAACTGCTTTCATAACAGCACTAAGACATGATTTGCCTTTTCCGTTGTGTTGTTATTTGTGCTGGTGATGCAAGGATGGTGAGTACAACTGGTGGCACTTAGTTAGGAATCACGGCGGTGACCCCAAACCATGTTAGTAGTCCTTGAATTCCTCACAGTAAAGAAAACAGTAAAAACTGCCTTTTTTTTTTAACCTGAGTGTCCTTGATAAAGAACTGAAAGACATTAATTTTATTAAAAATCTCCCCTTGAGTACAAATCATTTCAACATTGCCTGTGACAAAGCGAATTGTACACGTCAAGCACACGTCTGCATACTGAAGTACAGTGAGCAAATAGCTGCGTATGTGCTTGTATTGCGAGCTGAATGGGTTGATTTTTTTTTTACAAGGAATGATTGTCATAAAAACTGTGGCCACTCATGCTTGACTGTCTGGCACACACTTTCTTAAAAAGGAAATAAAGTAATTCTATAATGTCAAGGAAAATGACTGATAGAATTCGTTACCAATGATAAAATTCAAGCTCTCAGGGAAAAATTTGAGTTTTGGAAAACTTGGATCTGCTACTGTTAGCTTGACAGCTTTCCAGTATGCGAATTTTTTTTCTGGTGAGGTCAATGATGATAATAACCCATAGGATTATTTTGATATTGTATAATGAGATGTGCCAACATTTGGAGAATCTACGTGACTCCGCAAACCACTCTTTTCCAAATTCCCGTGCCTGATTACACATTCTGCATGGGTGAAGAATTCTTGGATTTTGAAGTAACAGAGTACAAAACAGTCACTGATAGGTGATTCCACACAGCAAGTAATGTGCAAGGAGTTACCATATGTCAAATTTTGGTGTAACATGAAAAAAGAATAGCCATTTTTTGTGTGAGGTTGAGGTTGTTTTTCTTCATATATTAGAGTTCATAAAGAAGTACGGAGTGTATAGAATGAGAAAAGAACTAGATTATATTAGTGGCACTGATAAAATGCTCATTTTTCTCCACTGGAGGGAAGTAATTAGAAGTTCCTGGTAGTGGGAGGGACAGATATGAGGAAAAATAAAGCAAACTAAAATGTGGGATGATTTTGAATAGGACCTGAAAAGGAAGTTTATTCTACCTGGCCATTAGGAATGTTTTTTCTTGAGTAGACGAGAGGTTTGTTTAAGCATTGAACTCTTGAGAAGGAAATAGACTTTTTGACTACTGCTTGGCTATATAAGTGAAACATATTTACATAGTTACAATAAGTACATTGTATATGTTGATTTTAAATGTTTATAGAAAACTTAGACACACTGCAGAGGACTTATAGTAATAGGTGAGTGAGGATCTGGGGCCAAACTGTAGGAGAGAGAGATGTTGGCAAGTAAATAAAGATAACTTTATATATTATAGTGGAAATCAGTAGATACTGTTTATGTAACAGTGATCGGAGGTTTAAGTATTTAGTGCTACAGAGCCAGGCAATTTAGAAAGCAAAATTATTAAAATAAATGGGATTAGACAGGAAACACCATTTTCATCTTCTATAATAGGAAGCTATCTATAATGTATTAAATAGATGAATCAAGAAATAATGGTGTACACATCTTATTTAGAGTTAAGAAACTAACTGCCAGAATAATCTAATATAGAAAGAACCATAAGAGGTCTCATTTAGGAAGTGGGATTGGGTTTTTAATGTAGTGATTTGGTTGTTACTTTTCATTGTAAGCCCTTCTGTAATATGTTTTTTAAAACCATGTTTATTGCTTTTTTTTTTTTAATTTTTTTTTCAACGTTTATTTATTTTTGGGACAGAGAGAGACAGAGCATGAACGGGGGAGGGGCAGAGAGAGAGGGAGACACAGAATCGGAAACAGGCTCCAGGCTCTGAGCCATCCGCCCAGAGCCCGACGCGGGCCTCAAACTCCCGGACCGCGAGATCGTGACCTGGCTGAAGTCGGACGCTTAACCGACTGCGCCACCCAGGCGCCCCTTGTTTATTGCTTTTATTAAAGAAAGAAGGGAGGGGTACCTGGGTGGCTCAGTCCGTTGGGTGTCTGACTTCGGCTCAGGTTATGATCTCACAGTTCGTGAGTTTGAGCACCGCGTCGGGCTCTGTGCTGACAGATCAGAGCCTGGGGCCTGTTTTGGATTCTGTGTCTCCCTCTCTCTCTGCCCCTCCCCTGCTCACGCTCTGTCTCTGTCTCTTTCAAAAATAAATAAACATTAAAATTTTTTTTTTTTTTTAAATAAAGGATCAACTACAGCATGGAGAATCTATATGAATCACTTCTCCTGCGTAGTGTCTCATCATGTGGATCTATACCGTAGCTTATTTAATCAGTCTGTTACTGATGGACCTTTATTTCCAGATATTGGCCAACAACATTTTAATGAACATTCTTGCTTAAAGGCAAAGTCCTAACAATGCAATTGCTGGGTGAAAGAAAATACATATTTTAAATTTTAATATATATTTTCCTAGTTACTCACCAGCAAAGTTCATGAATTATACTTCTATGGCGTAGACAAGTCATTTTCTCTGTGCCATCTCTGACACTTGGCATTATGGATCATTTAATCATTGCTGTGTTTCGTTAAATAAAATTTATATTTTTGTATTAGGGAAATGAACTACCTGTTCATACATGTTAGCAATTATTAATTTTGTTTTTGCTAATTTTCTGTTCATTATTGTTGTGTTGGTTATCATCTTCTCTTCTTCCTTCAAAATACTTACGTGTTGATGAAAGACACTTTTTGAGTCTTGTATGTTACATTTGTCCAATAATTTGAAATTGTAATCGTGTTTGCATTTATACTTTGTGGCCTTGGTATCATGCTTGGAAAATCCTTTTCCATTCAGTATTAGCTTTCTTTGTTTTGCTTATTTCATTACTGACACTATTTCTAATTCTTTTCTTTTTCTAACCTTTTCAAGTCATAATGATTTTAACAAGTACTGGAATTAAGGAAAAAATGTCATTGCCATTTTAGATGCTTGCGTAGATCAAGCGAAGCTAGAAGAGTTTGAAGAGAAAGCATCAGAACTTTACAAGAAAGTAAGTAATTCTGATTAAGTTTGCAAGACTATGTGAAGAACCACGTCGCATCATCAGGCATGCTTCTCCTTCAGGGATTTTGCTTGTTGTTTCCACTCTCTTCTTTACCTCTTTGAGCTATTTGCATAAATGCCATCCTTAAGGAGGATTTCCTAGACCATTATATTTAAACATTTTAACTCTCCACTCCCAGCCCTGACCCTGTCTGTGATTTGTTTTCCTCTGGTTTATTTGTTATCTGACATGCGACATGGCGTATGTATTTACCTGTGTATCTATGGATGTGTTGTCTATTTCTCCCTCTAGCATAACCTTTATGAAGGATATTTCTTTGTTGTTGTTTGAAGGATTTTGTTTATTCAGTGTCCCTGCGCCTAGAACAATTCCTGCCCTCAGAACATTAAAAAAAAAAAGGGGGGGGGGCGGTTAATGAATAAGTGATTGAAGAAAATTTGTAGAGTCAAAATTTTAAGATTGGAGTATTTCTCAAGAAATCCTATATCGAAAAGTTTTATTAACTTTTCTGTTTTGGTTCATGTTGCTTCATTAGGTCTAGGTGAACATAGAAAACTGTCATTTTTATAGGTCAGAAGTATCTGATATTGCCAGTTGGGTTGCTTCGGCCCAGTAGTATTGCTGACCATCCAGCCGTTCCCCACTGTTCTCGAAGGTGGTGTTCTGTGCTTTCATCTCTGCTTGGCATGTATCTATTCGACTCTTTCTGTTTAGAAAAAAAAAAATGTTGCTTTTGTGGGATTCTTCACATGTTAAGCAGTCACTTTGATTTAAATTCATGTGGCTGGTTTCTCACATTGGAGGAATAAATGATAATTACTATCCCCAGCCCCTGACGAACATACACTAAATAGACTTTTACTGTGTGTCAGTTACCATGCCTAAGAGGCTATGTTTTTGAACTCTCTGGATCTTGGTGAATATTGAACGAGTCTTACACTTCTGTAACAGTTTAAGATAATACAACTTGCAAATGGTAGACAGTCTTTTATAAGTTAGTGGTAATTTATGACAAACTTTGTAAATGCCCCATGTAAGAAGTCCTGCATGTCCCCCCACACATAGAGGTTATTAACCCCTGGGCCTCTGGCTGCAGGCTAGAATTCCAGCTTAAGCATATGATACTGTCTTTGCCCTGCAGGAACTTGAGAAACAAATGAACACATCATTGAAGTGTCGTATGTGCTACAGCTGATAGGTGATCATGTTGTAGGGTGATCCCTTATCCCCTGACTTGGTATTCTAAGCCTTCTACTTGGTATTCTATTTTAACTCTTCCTGAGAAAGTAGTAGTAAACTTTCAGGTACTTGCTTTGGATGCATCCCAGGTGATATAAATTTGCTTCTATAATCATTTTTAGGTATATGATGTATATGAGTGTTGTTAAATGTGATACCTTTCTCAACATATTGTTTTAAAATTTAAAGTTTAAGTGTAAGTAGAAGAAAGACCTTGTTCAAGGTTACTTGTCTCCTTTTAGTCAGAAGTTATATGTCTTAGGTATATTTAAAAAATATTGTTTGCTCCATAAAAGATTCCTATTGCCATACCATTTTGTATATATCAGCAAGAACTTCTTTCTGATAGCTTTATAAGGACACATGTAAATACTTTGCTTTAGGCAGGAAGCTATCATAGTTGCTAGACACATTCTTTATTTTGGTGCATAAATTTGAAAAATGAAGACCAGAAATGTCAGAAAGTACATAGAGAATATTGAATTATCAACCTTCTTGTACAGATGCACTAATACATTTACCCTAGGGAATGAAATTAAGCAGAGCCTCAGCCTTAACTGTGTTTCTTGACATTTTTGCGTGTAATTTTGTAAGTGTAATATTGCTCTAGAAACTCTTTTTGGAGAAGAAGGCTATCATATCTGTTTTTATAAAGTATGTCTTTAATGGAGATTCATTTTATCCCCAAGGCTACTGTGATTTGACTGTAGATATTATAAAAATGCTAAAGCAAAGTTTATATTTTGTCTCATCCTTTTATAGGGGAGGATATAGAAATTTATCTCTTTGTTAAGTACAGATACTTTAAGTATGGCCAAGTTAATTTAATAAATTCTCTTAGAGTATACTAATTATGACTCTGATTATTTTGGTGGTTTTACCTTTGTTCCCATAAATCATCCTTTTTCCTCCTGAATCTCATTCTAAGCCCTACTAGTTAGGGTAATATACCTACTGATAGTGTGAAAAAGACTTCATTTTTACTCTCATAAGAATTTAATTTTTTATTTCTTGCTAAGCAGAAGTAAACACTGAGCAGTCATAAAAGGGAGAATAGAGAACATGACCTCTCAAAGATTTTTCATGCCGGGAGATTGTGGAACTTTAATATATGATATTGACATATTTATTCACAACATATAAAGGAAGACTTGACAGGAATTGGCTCCATTTCTTCATTTGACAAATATTTACTGAGTTTAGTTATCAATGTAAGGCTTTGGAAAGGTGATGAATAAAGTGGATTCTCAATGTGAATAACCTTCCAGGCTGGTGGGTGTTACTGTGGTGTGTGAATAGTGCATTTTGATATTTTTATATTACAGTGTTATGACTGCTACAGTAGGAATACCCTCTGCAGAATGGGAGCCTTCTGCAAGGATTCCTCATCTAGACTTGAGTGGCCAGGAAAGGCTGACCCAAGGAAGTCATAGCTAATGTGAGGCAACAAGGTGAGATAGCCAAGAAGGAGGGAGACAGAAATTTATTGTGAATTTCAACATAGCCATCTCAAGGTTAATATTTCTGAAACCAAATTTATTTTTCTTTTCCCTAAAAAAATGCCTTTCCTCCTCCATGAATTTTATATCCCTATTTCCCCCCTAAAATAATAATAGTTTCCAGCTTGCAAAGCATTAGAACACCATCATCATCTTAGAGATATACTCCCCTCACTCATTTCCTTCATTTAATTGTACACTAATTTTTTAGATTCTGTTTAAAAAAAAAAAAGAAGTCCCTTCATTTTTTTTTTTTTTTCCTGTTTTCTGTTTCCCTGTCTTCCCCTTCATTCAGGCAGGCCTTAAATTCTTGGTTGGGTAACTATGGCAGCTCCTCAACCTGTTCACATGCCTCTGGTGTTTTCTTTTAGTCCACCTTCCACACTGCTGCAGGCTGGGTTTGCCAAAGTGCAAATTTGGTCATGTTAATTTCTTATTATAAATACTCTTAAAAGCTCTCCATGGTTTACAGGAAAAAAGAGAAACTTTTTGACTTTAAAATTCCTTAAAATTTTTTTTTCCGTTTATTTATTTTGAGAGAGACAAAGAGAGTGAGCAGGGGAGAGGCAGAGAGGGAGGGAGAAAGAGAATCCCAAGCAGGCCCTGTGCTCTTGGCGTGGAGCCAGATGTGGGTTTGAACCCACGAACTGCAAGATCATGACCGGAGCCGAAACCAAGAGTTGGACGCTTAACTGACTGAGCCATGCGGGTGTCCCCAAATTTACTGTAAAATTCCTTTAAACAGTTTAATTCCTGTCTACATCTGTAACTTCATCTCTTGCAATTTGTTTTCTTACCTCCTTTTATGGCCCTTGCATGTTGTTGTTTTCATTTGTGTACTGCACTAAACCTTCTATTTGAAATGCCAGCTGTACTTATCAACTAACTACTCAAATTCTTCAAACCTGGGGCCAAGTTATCACTTCTCCAGTAATCACTCCCATGCCTCCAGTGTATTTCTCCATTGCTGGTAATTTTCATACGTTCGCATTGTTACTTTCCTTTTACTTTGCCACCAGACACTATGCTTACTAAAAGTGATGACCATATTGTATTCAACTCTGTATCTCTAACACCTGCTACTTTGAGGAACACATCAGATGCATGATATTCCTTACAGTATAACGAGAAATAGGTAGGTAGTTTGGGGCCAACTCCCAGGAGGTTCTTAGATATTAGGTTAATGACGTAGCCACTGTAAGTTGAAAAGCAAAAGAGTCATGTTTTTTGAGCCATCCTTTAGAAAGAACAGCGATACTCAAAAAAAGTTTGTAGAGGGGAAAGGTAATACTGGTTTTTTAAATTTTTTTTTTTTCAACGTTTATTCACCCTTGGGACAGAGAGAGATAGAGCATGAACGAGGGAGGAGCAGAGAGAGGGAGACACAGAATCGGAAACAGGCTCCAGGCTCTGAGCCATCAGCCCAGAGCCTGATGCAGGGCTCGAACTCACGGACCGCGAGATCGTGACCCGGCTGAAGTCGGACGCTTAACCGACTGCGCCACCCAGGCGTCCCAATACTGGTTTTAAAAATACTGTTTTTGTTTGTTGCCTTGAAGAATGTTCATTGGGCAGTTGAAAATACGTTTATGGACTGATTAGTAGTCTGGAATTCAGACGAGAAGCTGAGCTGGTGATGGGGATTTGGAAGCCATCAGTGTATGAATGGGGACTAAAACGTACGGGTGTGGAAGATACCATTCTACCAGGCATATGAAGTGAGACCATCAGAGGGGCAAAGGAAGAGTCCTAGGACAGGACAATAGTAGACGGTTGGACTGAGGAATAGGAACCTGTAAAAGAATTGGTAGGAACAGCCAAGGAGTAAGCAGGAGGACCAGAAGAGTGTGTTGTAATACAACACACTGGGGAAGAAAGAATGAATACAGAGACATATTCGTGAGTATTTAATGCTGTAGGGCAGTCCCGTTCGATACAGAATGATGACAGTGTTTGATGATCTGTGTTCAGCATGCTAGCCTTCAGCCTGTGCCTGTTGTGCCCTTGTGACTGAGGAACTGAAGTTTTAACTTTGATATTAGCTAACTTAAATTTACATTCTAGCAGCCACGTTGGCTAGAGGCTACACCATTGAATAGTACAGGTATTAGATCAAGTTAAGAGGAGGCCCGGAGAAGTCTGGGGGCTTTGGAATTTGGCAAGCCATAGTTTTTAGAATGAAAGATGGTGGCTAAGTTGGATAATGAAGTGAATGAAGTTCAACAGGCCAGAAAAGGGAGTATGATCCAAGCACACTTTTTGAAGGAGTGCACTTTGAAGCAAGAATAAGATTAGAGTTAGGTGACGCAGGGTAAGGACAAAAAGAGGGTCAAGGAAGATTAGCGTCTTTTAAATTCTCAAATGGTAGGAGGGGTTTGGAGGAGCTGCAGTAATAGGAGTGGTAATGTTGGTGTGGTATGGGTGAAGTGAGGGATATTTGGTTTTTTTACCCGGTAGTTTCTGTTCTCTTTATAAAAGCGCAAAGTTTAGAGTGTGAGGATTGAATGTGAGATTTATTTAACCTGTAAATGGGAATCACAACAATGTTTATTATTTCAGAGTTTTTGCGTGTGTGAATGCAATGATGAGATTGCATTCATGAAATGCAAAAATGCTGACACTAAATCATGGGGGAGGCAACCCTCTGGGGGGGTTTGCATATGAGAAATCTCTGAAACTTTGACTCATTTTGCTGTAAGCCTAAAACAGTTCTAAAAAATAAAATCTATCTTAAGAAAATACCTGTAAAACATTATCTGAATGTAATTTGTAGGAGGGTGCTGTGGTTTTATCTAAACCCAGGCTTGGAAGACAAGGTCTGGCTTTTAATCTCACTTTTTTAATTTACTGTCTGTACGACAAGGGATTGGATTGCCACCTTTTTGAGTTAAGGACAAAATAAGATTCATAAATAAGTGTTCTTTGTCATCGGTTGTTTTTTACATTCTTGCACTTTCCCTAATTGAGGTCTGACCGTGCTTTAAAGTCTAGAGGCTACATCTGTGAGGTAGTGTTTTTTTTTATGATTTTTTTTCTTCATTTTTTAAAAAGAAATAAATGTTCTCCAGTATGAGACAATCCCCTATTGCAATTCACCTCTGATAGAGGTTTTCAGTCATGATGATGGCAGGGTGAAGCTATTTGAAGGCAGGGTGGGAATTTGTGATAAGTGGCTGTATAAATTAGAAAACTCATTGGATTCACCAAATTTTACTGTTTGCTTTCCTCCCACAAGGTATTGCACCAGGGTTTTTGAAAGATTAATTTATCATTAATCTCCCAAAGATTAATCTCCAAAAGATTAATGATAAATAACAGACTTTATTCTCTTAAATTGCTGTTGAAGATTAGAGCCTGCATCAGGGCCCTTAACTCTCATGACGACGTGAGAAGTGATGCATTTACGAAATGGAGTTATATAGTAATAGCAAATATTAAAATGGAATTCTTTTTAATTCCTATCATAAGGTTCAAGTACAAGTTTTTGCAAATAGGGGTCTGGGAACTCGCTACAATGCTTTGCTCTCTATTATTTTACACAAAGTTGCAATGATATTTAGGGACTTTTAAGAAAAATGTCAGTGTGGCAGATACCTCTGGGCGAGTTTGCTCTCCTGAGAGGAGAAGGTCACAGACTCCATCCCTGGCTTTGTCTGCTCCCTTGCAAATTGAATGATTTTGGTGGGACCCAGAGAGGGACCTAGGGATAGGCTTTGGGTGACTTAGCAAAATCTACCACTTTTTTCATAAAAAGTTTGTGTTCTACTGACGGGTCTTTAGATCATTAGAACCGTATTTCTTTATGAAGAATAGCGCTTTTCACTGCCATCTTTCTGTCTCCTGTTTTTTTTTTTTTTTTTTCTTTTTTTTTCTTTCTTTCTTTGCAGTTTGAAAAAGAGTTTACCGACCACCAAGAAACTCAGGCTCAATTGCAGAAAAAAGAAGCAAAGATTAATGAACTTCAAGCAGAGTTACAAGCTTTTAAGTCACAGGTAAAATACCATCTACCTGGATTGAATTTGGCTATTGAAAGCTTACTATGGAAGCAAAGGTCATGTCACAGCTTCATAGTTCAAAATGTTTAAACTTTAATTTCACTTGTATGTTTTCATAGTGTTGTTTTTCTACATATTTTTGCTCTGTAAATTAAAATTATTTTCCCACTGTTTTTTCTAGTTGCATTTTTAAAAATGTCATCAATTTTTACTAATTAATCTTCTTTTGTTTCATGTGGGTTTTGTTCCTAACGTCATACGTTTCATATATAATCATAAAGGGTGAGAAAGACTTTTACTCTTAGATTTGTCATTCATCACTGATCTTTATCCCACTACAGGAAATTATTGCTCAACCTATTTATTTTTCAAAACCTTCAGCCTATGGGTACCTTGCAATGAAAGATAACCTCTAGCTGAATGAGAACATTTTCTGATAATTTTTCAATTTCCAAAAGTAAACAGTTTAAAACATGACAAAAAAGAGAGCAAATCTGGATTATGAAGCAGATAGCTCACATACACCCTCTACACATAAAACATTTAGATATCAAGAAATACATCATCTGCATGTTTTAAATGGATGACAGTAAGGAGGTAGAATATTCATAGCTAAATTTCTTCATGCAGATTTACATATAGGATGATGAGTAGTAAGTATAGTTTTGCTATTTTCTTTTCATCCTAATTTATGGTTATATCGAAATAGTCTCAGATGTACCATTTCCTATATGGTATGCTATTTCCTATATTATTGGCTATTTTGTTTTCTCTTAAATACTTAGTGGGTAATTTTGTTATGGAGGCTATAAGAAGAAACCCTAAGAGATAGCTATCTCTTAAGTGTTCAATTTTAGGGGGAAAAAAAAGCTCTTATCTGTAAGAAAATCACTCTCAATGATCTTTCTTTAGTGTTTAAGAAGGAAGTACAATTTATTGAAACTTTTCATCTTTCCTGTGTGGCTCCTTGTCTCTCATACTAAAAAGTAACATTTGATTGTGTTTTACATTTCAGATTGAGTTATAGACCATGGCTGAGATTCTTAGGTCCAGTTTTACCTTGTCTGGGCCAATATGAATTTTAAAAATATTTCTTTTTCATTTCTTCTAGTTTAAGGATTACTTGTAAATCCAATCTAAAGAATTCCTGTTTATACAAAAAGAAAATATCTGCCATCTTTGGACATGTTACTGCTGCCTGTGTTTTATATTAAGATGGGAATAAATTGTTTTAAAATGAGATTAACTCCAGCAATATCCTATATTTTTTCAAAATGTGGACAAGGTGACTATTTATGGCTGTCAGAAGCAAGCCAACAGCTTAGACACTTAGTATTGGCAGCCATGTTAATTTTTGAAGAATAACTGGGTATTTCTTTTTCCGAGAGATTAGTCGTGTATTTCTCATGAAATCTAATCATTTGTCTTAAGATCCTTTGCTTTGCTCAAAACTGTACTGATTATGAAGAGTCTGAATAAAATATATTCTGTGTGATTTTATTCCTTTATTCACGTAACAGCCAAGTATTGTCGGGTGCTGGGGATATAATGGTGAGCAGGTTGATCACAGGATAATCTGGCTTCATGAACAATATATTTAAGTCAACCATGCTACATCGAAGGAATTAGTATAGAAGAGAAATGCAGCCATATCTTTAAGGCATTAATAGTTAACTATAACATGTATATTGAATGTGAGTATAAAATACCTACACCTCCTTAACATTCAGAGGGCACTACTATCCATGTTAACGGCAATGCAGCATAATGCTGAATTGATTCTTCTTTATAATTAATGTTTTTGTTAAGACATGTTCTTTGATTTGTGGTTTCAACTTTTTTTATAACACTTTTTTCTTCGTGCTGATCTCATGTGTCAACTTTAGGCTTTAATACATGATCTATTTTTATAATTGTGCCATAAAACTTTTAAAATGATTTATTAATGTTTATTAAATGCCCCCACTTGCAGGTGTGTGTGTGTGTGTGTGTGTGTGTGTGTGTGTGTGTGAGAGAGAGAATTGAAATCAGTGATTATAGGAAAATAATCATATCACAAAACATTAACTCAGATCTTCTTTAAAATAATCAAAAAGAGGGGCACCTGGGTGGCGCAGTCGGTTAAGCATCCGACTTCAGCCAGGTCACGATCTTGCGGTCTGTGAGTTCGAGCCCTGCGTCTGGCTCTGGGCTGATGGCTCGGAGCCTGGAGCCTGTTTCCGATTCTGTGTCTCCCTCTCTCTCTGCCCCTCGCCCGTTCATGCTCTGTCTCTCTCTGTCCCAAAAATAAAAAAAAAAATAAAAATAAAAAATAAAATAAAATAATCAAAAAGTGTATATTCTTACCATGCCATTGAAACATAAGGCCAGAAGTGACCAGTGGCCACATTTTGCCCTTTTTCTCTCCTGATTTTACTTTGCTTTTTTGTGACATTTGATACTGTAGAATAGCCCATTATCCCCCCTCCCTCACTGTCTTCACTTCACTCTGATTCATGAACCTGCGCTTGTCTGTTTTTTTCTCTTATCTTTAATTCATTCATCCAACATGTATGTATTTCTTCAATGGCTGTCATTTGCCAGCTGCTGCTTTAGGTGCTGGGAAAGAGTAGTAAATTATACAGACTTAGTAACTGCCCTCATGGAGCTTATAATGTATCAGTGAGATAAATGCTAATGATTTCTTAAGCATTTGACACTTTGATAATAAAGAGAAGCACAAAGTGCTATCTGTGTAAAAGGAGTGGTCAGATGAGGCTTCCTGAGGAAAGGACTTGCTAGCTAAGATTGAAAGGATCTACAGGAGGTAACCACATGCCAAGAAAGTTCCAGGCAGAAGGGATTGCATGTGCAAGGGCCCTGAGAGAGGTATGTGGTTGGCAAATATGTGAAATTGTACATGACAGCCACTTGAAAGGCCAGTTCACAAGGATCATGATGTGCCCTGCAGGTTGTCCTTAGGAATTTCTGATTTTTTTTCCTCAAGATAAAGGCATGATGTGACAATGCTATTTAAGTCTCTCTGGGTCTTCTTCTTCTTGTTTTGCTTCTCGTTTAAATGCCAGTATTCCATAGAATTCTGTACATAGACTTTATGCTACATGCTCTGTACATACTCTGGGTGAACTTACCTATTCTCAGTAAGTTGAACTATCACCTAGAAACTGCTGTTTCAAATCTTCTAGACCCACATACCCATTTCCTCCTAGGACATCTCCACCTGGATGGCCATAACTACCAAAATAGGAAATAATATTTCTGGCAATTACACTTCTATGAAAACAAAAGCTAAATTCTTGAATTGGAAAAAGAAAAAAACTGTTGGGATTGTGTTTTTTTAGGTCAAACCATGTGAAATTGCTCATCCTGAATTGTCTTTGGTGTAAAATAATTTTTGAGGCAAGTGTACTTTGACATGTTTGGTAGATGTTTTTAGTCATATTTCTTTTCTTTTTTTCCCTTCCCCTCTAGTTTGGTGCGTTGCCTGCCGATACAAGTAACTCTTCGCCACTGGCAGAAGAAAATGGATCCGGCCTCCCAGCACTTGCTCCTTCCCTGCCGTTGCCCTCCTGTGGAGGAGTGCCTCCTCCCCCTCCTCCCCCACCCCCTCCTCCCCTTCCAGGAATGCCCTTGCCCTTTGGTGGTCCTGTGCCTCCACCGCCTCCCCTGGGATTTCTCAGTGGGCGAAACTCTCCTCCTCCACCAACCCTACCTTTTGGGTTAAAACCAAAGAAAGAATTTAAGCCCGAAACCAGCATGAGAAGATTGAATTGGTTAAAGGTAAAACAAATAAATGGAAGAGACATACTGTCGCCTAGATAAAAATTTAACTTTATATTTAATTTCCAGTGGAAATCCTAATCAGACTGTCATTCAATAGATAAGCGTTATTTGAATTAAATAAAAGTATTGAAACAAAGCCCTTTTCTCTTGACTGAGGCTTTCTGGTTTAGAAATTTGGTGAGAGTTGATGGTTGTTACAATGGGATTTGGTTTGTGATTAAGCTGATAATTCAACATTATCATCATTGAACATGAAGTGTTTCTCACAAGAACAAAAATAAGTTAGTGTTCGTATGAACTTATCTATGTTGATAGCCATTGGAAAAATTAATACATGTTGTCAAAAGTTGGTAATTAGGACACAGAAATCCTGAATCCTGGAGATAGATAGTTTCATGGTCACATAACCTTGGGAAATGATGTGTGATATATCCTGCACTTGAATTATTGCCGTGAACATGAGCCGTATTCAAGACCCTGAGAGGTATAATTAAGAAAGAACAAGTTTTATTTCACTCTGCTTCAAACCATCAACTATCTGATAGTGGAAACTTTTTTTTTTTTTTTTTTAATAAAACCTTAGCTTCCGGAGGAACTTGTATTTTATTGCACGCACTTTGGGGAAAAATATTAAGGGATTACTTCATAAACATCTGCTGGCAGCTATGGGACATTGGGTCTGAACGTAGTGATTGTGTGGGGACAGATGAAACACCCAACTATTTATGAATCTATCTCTCTGATTGCAGATCAGACCTCATGAAATGACTGAAAACTGTTTCTGGGTTAAAGCAAATGAAAATAAGTATGAAAATGTGGATTTGCTTTGTAAACTTGAGAATACGTTTTGTTGCCAACAAAAAGGTAAGTTGAACATCATGCTTATTTGCTTATTTTAATATCATGCTTCTTTTAATATGTTAACATTGCCACTTTTTCTGTATTAACTTTTACAGAGCATTGTTTGAAGAGTCCTATATGTGATATTTTTTACTTCATTAGTGGGTAAATAAATTAATGGGAAAAAATTTTAAAATACCAATTTTGTTGTGAGTATAGGATAAGCAGTCTTGAAAATGCAAGTGTTTAATACATAACTTTGTCAAATTTTTGGTATGATATCTTTTTTGAAGATGTTCTTAATTGGGTTTTCATAAAGGAGGATATTTTCAGAGAGAACTTTGGCATGAGAATTCCTTTGAGTCAATGGGAAATAGAAAAACAAACGGAATGTGAGCCTTCTTCTAGCCAGCACTTTACCATCCTTTAATATTACTATGACAGTCACAATAATTAGTATGAGTCACATGGGATAGAAATACCAAATTTATAGAGTACCTTGAAAGCTTAAAATAGAAGTACATGAGTAGGTTATATGAACTTTTTATTAAAAGCAATTAGTGTTCATTTCCGAATTGTTTCGTGATAGCTTTTACCTGTTTGGTGTGATGATGATGAATATTTTTAAATGATTTTATTCAAACATTGTTCTTATCTGAAAATTGGGTTTCTACTGTATATGTTTCAGGGTTGATATTGACTTAAGCTAGTAGGTTAATTTTTAAGTTATGTAATGCTTACATTTTAGGTCTATGTTACAAGCTACTTGGATCAGTGATTACATTTTAATTTTCAAGAAGCAACCCTTTTCACCATAGACCTATGTCACTTACAACCCTGGGCTCATTGAACACAGAGAGCTGTAGAAGAGAGATTTTACTCCAGCTGGAGATGGGAAGGGTTGCTATATACAGGGAAGAATTAACTTCTTAAAATACCTACTACGTATTAGGCGATATGCTGTATATCTGATTTAACTTGACAGTCGCAGCAATGAAAGGATTTTGGCAGATACCCCTCCCGCCCCAAATCATTTGCATTCCTTTGAAATGCTTTGTAAAATATAACTGTAAATTAGAATCTCTTTCTAAAAAGTAAGTTAGAACTCTAAAAGGTAATTGTAAATTAAGGTGGCTTTCCAGAATTTGTGCTAAATCCAAAGCCTTCAGCAGATATTTTTGGGCACTGTTCGTGACTAAAATAGTAAAAATGATATATTTTGATCTTTGAAAACAGGGGGAATTTTCTCAGCAAGCTTATCCTAGGAAAACTTGTGAAGTAAGCAGATCTTAATTTTACCTTTTGATTATGGAGAATGAAAATTTTCTTTGAATAAGATTAGTACACTCTTCAGGCAATCAAGGAAAATATATGGCAGTTAAAATGTGTATTTACATGTAAAACACTTCAGAATTTCAGATTTCATAATCTGGAATTGATTAGTTTTCCCTTTGCTTTCCTAGTAGGGTACAAACGGTGGTACCTTAAAGCTATTTAAGTAATACTGCCATCCAGCTACTGTCTCTCTCTTTTTTTTTCCTCTTTACTCTGATTACTTTCTTAATTAATGAGGCTCAAAAGGGAAACTTGTTAGCATGTCTTTAATTTAGCTGTAGTGTTAGCCCTAAATGAAATAATTGGACCTTTAAAAAATTCTTAAGTCATCTAACTTTAGCCTTGAGATTCAAGGTTGAAAAAAAACAACAATGTATTTGCTCAATCAAGTATTAGTTATGAAGTTTAAGGTGAGGAAATGGTGATCCTTGTCTGAGTATTCCGTACTTCTATCTGTCTCTGCCTTTGTACGTGCCGTCCCCTCTGTCCAGAGTCTCTCATTTGACTTACAGACTGGCAGAGGCCCACGACTTCTCTTGTCTCAGCTCAACTGCTACCTTCTTTCTTCTGTGACAGTGGATGATACCTCCATGGTGATCAGAAAAGATGGGGATACCCGAGGTTGTCATCCTGGGCAATGCCAATCTTTCACAATGCCAATAGGAAACAAGCTGTGAAGGTGACTATTTTTTGATCTGGATTTTAAAGAATAATTCCTGGAAAACATTATTCAGGGAGCCTTAAGAATACATTTTAGCATTACCAGTAGTTAAGTATTTTATTGGAAAACAAAATTGCTGCTTTCAGAAAAGCAGGATTTCCTATAGATACTTTGTAGAGAAGATCAGAAAGGAAGGCAAGAGGAAGGTATCTGAAAAGCTTACCGGAGACCAAGGGGTGGTGGTGGAGTGGACTTTTTTTGTGGAGTGTCCCTTTATTTGTGGCCTGGCCACTGAGGCAGTAGGTCCAAATCTTCACTTCTGCCTTTCTCCTTTCTCCCATGACTCCAAAGGTTACTTTAACTCCAGTTTTTAATTTCTGCAGAATTCAAAATTGAACCTAGTCACGAATTATTCAGTCCATGGTGGCGATACAGTGACTCTCTGCTCCCTAGCCAGCAGGGGGAGGTAGAGGCATCGCCTCCTGGTTGATTTTCCATCATTGGTTCTTGTCAGGACTTGGAAGGGAAGGACACAGGATTCCCATTACTGGGTTTTTAGGGAAGTAATGTATCTGTTTTTCATTGCAGTAATTCTTTTGTCTAAGAACCAGGGCATTTTGTGACAATATGGATGGACCTCTAGGTCATTATGCTAAGTGAAATCAATCAGGTGGGGAAAGACAAATACTGTATGATTTCTCTTATATGTGGAATCCAAAACAATGAAAAAAGCAAACCAAGCTCATAGATAGAACAGAATGGTGTTTGCAGAGATGGGGGTGGGGGAAATGGGGAGGAGGGGTAGAAATTTATTACATAAACAAAAAACCCAGAGCTATTTCTCTGATTACAAAGGTGGATGTTCCATCCCAGGAATTTAAAATGGTAAAGGCCAATCATTGGTATCCCCTAAACATTTGAAATAGGTGGAAAGAAAAATAAGGAACTGAATTTCATAATTTACCCTCTAATTCTACCTATTCTAATCACATACTCTGTATTTTTTGTTATTATGTCTCCCCACCCACCCACCCCCCCCCACCCCTTAAGGAAGACGCTGCTTTGGGTTTTACTGACTTTGAAGTTAAGATGATTGGGTTTTAGTGGTGTTATACCCTGAAAGTTGGAAAAGGAAGAGGGCCTAACAATACCAGTGGAGCACCTGTGGTTGTACCACTCCCTGAGCTGGGCCGTCTTCATGTGACCTTGTTTAAATCATGACCACATCTCTGCTGAGATTTTTCTCCTGCCCAACGATGCTAAGTCCCCAGAATACCACCCTGCCCCACTTGCTGATAGACATAGCAAGATATTCTAGGCATGAGCTTGGATATTTCGTCTTTACTCATGTTATTCTTTATTATATCTTTTTTCCCTCCCAGTTAAATTTGTATTTTAAACTAACTTCCCTGTTATGTCTAGACATTGCTTTATTAGGAAAGTGCCCGTGTCCTGTCTTAAGGAGTACAGGAAACTCAGCCTCTTCCTACAAAATCAGTATGTTTCCTTGATCCCGTTGTATCATTTTTTTCTTTGATTCCTTTATTTGGCTATCAAGTATCGCTTTGGTTTCCTTGCCTTTGTCAGTTCTAACCTGTCTAAATTTTTGAGTTACATTTCAGCTTTCCATATTTTAAATTCTGAAAATAACATGTAGGCATTTTTCCTGGCCGTATTTTTCTTTTTCTCATTCTCCCTCATTCCTTTCTCCTGTGTTCGGCTGTCACTGTTCAAGGCAGCCAATATTTATTGGGTGTGCACTGTATGTTAGGCCTTGTGTTTGGCACTGGGGACGCTGTAGAGAGAAAGCAGTTGTGTGCACGTCCACGTGTTGTTTTCTCAACCCCAGTGAAACTCCATCAAGCTCTCAGTCAAGTTGAAGCACAAGAATGAGGAGTGGAACAACAGATGCTGATTTTTGATTCAGAAAGGAGGATTGCCATGTTTTACTGTCTTGGGCTCCTGTTAAGACTTAACAAGATTATAAAAGAAAAGTGTTTATATATCTCTTTGAGGTTTAATCACAATATTCATATATTGAACATTTGGTATCATCAAAATAATGCTAATGATCTGTGTATTTTTTTACCAGATTGGAAGCATCTGCTGGTTAATTTTTACAGGCTGTTGGAAAATGGATTAAAGTATTCTAACAGGTTATTGGTGTTGGATTTATCAACTAAAATTAATATTAATTACTTTCATTATTCACAAACTGTTAACTTAATAGGGATTAAAGGGTTTTCTGAAAGTATATGAATAGTCTAATTCACTTAGACTGATTTATGATAAAAATGTGATTCCACAATTGTTAGCTTTCTGAAGTAATCACATTTTAGAACAGGTGCATCATATTTGCCAGATAGGGCCAATAAACTGGTTTAGAAATAATTTATCAACTGAGCAGTTATGGCATATGGAAACAGTTAATGGATTATGTACTTACAAACAAATCAAGCCAAGATTTCTGACATCATAGTTCAGTGGACAAAGTATTGGGGTAGGGAGTGATAAACCATGGATTATCTCAGGGACTTGGCTGTGTTCAGGATGTCGCTTTGTATTTGAAACACAATTTATTCCTCTGTCTGAAAAAAAGTGTATTAAAAAAATCCTAAACTACCTACATTAAGATGAATAATATAATTTATAGTAGAGAAATGTTTTTCATGAATGTGTGTTAATAAAGAGATGACGAATGCACCATATCTTAAAGGTTTCTGAAAAGACATTTGACAAACACTTGTTTGGAAAGATGGAGGAGGAAATCAGTGATGAATTAAATATTTCCCTAGGGATTTATCCTTTGGTTCTTGTCTGTGTCTGAATCTGAAAAGAACTAAAGACTTAAGGAAATGATAGGGCCTGTCAGGAATGTCTTGTTTCACCCTTAGAAAGTATCTTTTTGTTACCAATTATTTGTATTTTGTGTTGGGTTGCGAAAGAAACAGAAATTTATTCTGAAAGGTTTAAAGAAACAGAACTTAGAGAAAAGGGCTGAAGAGAGTAGGTTTGTTTATTAGCCTGG